AGGGAGGGAGGGAGGGAGGGAGGTCCGCCGCCAAAACGAACAAATCTGCACTAGAAGACAATGCGACGGAGGCGGAGGGCCGGGAAGGAAGCAACGCAATGAGGAGACTGAGGAGCATCTCAGTGAGGCGACGAGGTGCGGGGATAGGGTTTCCCACCCCGCGGCCAACATGGAGAGTGTTACCTCCCCACTTTGCAAAGAGCTGAGCACCTGTTGCATGTGTGAGGGAGGTTATTGCAAGTCCATGTGCTTTGTGTCTCAAGCTTAGCACCAGGTAGACGCCCTTGAGCCAGCGTCATGCGGAAGTTCGCTGTTGATTGACCAAAATTCACGTGGTTAGTGGCATTTTGCAGTATGAGATCAGGGTAGTACAATGGACAGGCGTGGTGGTTAGGAGTAGAAATCGTACTTGCGCCCCGCAGCCACGCCACCCTGTTCATGAAACTGACGGTTGGCCAGCTTCCACACTCAGGGTCCCTCACCGATCCATTATTTTGCCTGATTGCGAAAACGCCACTATGCGATTGCGCATGACTCCCACCCTTCGCAACGTTCGGTCCAGGTATTCATGGCGATGGCGCGCACCCCTCTGCACAGACCCTGTCCCGTATCCGGCCGCCATCCTAGTAAGTTATCTTCTGCATTGCATGGCAGTCCAACTCGCCAGGATTCGTTTCAGGAGAAGCCAACGTACATCTGCGGGTTCCTTAGTCGCAGCTGATGGCTCCTGTAGAAGTGCCGAGAACAAAAGCAAGGACCGCAGACGCAGCACGTGGTGACAGCCGGTTGCAGGAGCTGAACTGAAGCGTAAAAAAGACGAGCCAGGGAAGACAGGACCAAGTCACTACAAGAAAGCCAAGCCAGGAACAAACAGCAGCTTGATGTGTCTTAGATTTTGTGCGGTGTCGTTCTTATTTGCCTGAAGCTCCTTTCCAGCCAAGCAGACCCAGTGCATCGCGTTGCACAGCCATGGCAAATCAAGGACAGCAGCCACACAGCATGAATGGAAAAGTTGAGGGGTATCACCCAGCAGCTTGGCCAGACGCAAGCAAATCGGCACAATTGCTGCTGCACACAATCTCAGGGAACCCGGTGCCAAGGGTGTTGACGGCCGTGCGTGCTTTACCAGTACGAGCCCAACTACATGATGCGGCATACCTGCGACCGCTGCTGAGTCAACTGGTCCAGGCAGCAATTTTGAGAAGTGCAACTGCAAGGGTTCCCTGTCTAGGATTTCATGTTGGTCCCCCCACGACTTTGACCGCCCAGAGGAAAAGAGCCAGGGGAGGGTTTTCACCCAAAAGGGGGGCTTCTTTCTTTCTGCGCTGTGCCTTTCAAGGCCCAGAAGCAAAGGACGAGGCTGAAAGAGCGACCCCGTTTGTCATCCGGGTTCAGGGTTGCTGATATGAAACCTAGACGTCCAAAGCTCTGCAGGTGCCGGTACCGTAGCCCGGCCTAACAGGCGGTCTGGGTACACATAAACGTTGGCCTAAGGCCGCACAGACCGAACTGAGAGAGCTTCGATACAGGTTCCGTGATTGGTTAAAAGTCCCCAACCCTCTGTACTGAACTTTTGGCCCTTTTTAAACTCGTCGGTGCATTCCGGCCCGCATGCTCCCCGAAATACCAATTTATATAAGGGGTATTCAATACTAGGAGCGTATTAGCGAATGTTTGCCAACCTTGAAACCATCGAAGGTGAGCTGGCAGTCGCTTTCGAAGAAGGAATCTTCTCGCGGCCTTGGCTCAAGCAGAATCAAGTACAATCTGGTGCGATGCAATGGACCTCTTGAGTGACAAGTTGCCCGAAGACTTGGTCTGCACCTCCTTCTCCGACAGCCCTGGCTGGATGAGGCAGAAGTGTCTTGCAGCTCGGTGACGGGGTTAAAAAATTAAACCACCGACATCAAAAAAATAAAAACATGATCTAAAAAATAAACCTGTACCTTTGCGACAAGGCTACAGAAAAACCTAAGGGCGAGGGACCCCAAAAAAATTAAACTTGTGTCAAAAGCAAATTAAACTGGCCGTAATGGTCGAGTAGTAGTAGTAGTAGTAGTAGTAGTAGTAGTAGTAGTAATAGCAGTAGCAGTAGTAGTAGCAGCAATA